GATGCTTACTGGAGATTTCAAGGGCTTGTGGTGGGAATTATATTCCTATCCACTTTTTTAGAGGCTTGAGTATCTGCCTTTAGAAGATTCCAATCCCTGGCAAAACCATCACTAGGAAGAAAAAATAAGTTAAAAAAAGAGATAAAAGGAAGACAAATGCCACGGAGCCATCAGCTAGGTGCAGAATATGTATGTAAATAATATGCAACAAGCAGCAGATCCATAAGGCCCTCTTGCATATGCTATTTATGCGACTGTCAAACTCATTCTGAAGATGTCATGCAAAGAGCCATGCCAGCAGTGCTGTACATATGCTCCAAATTTCATAATGTTATGTGGGATTGAGAATCAACTGCTCTGCTGGAACCAACTCATCCCAGCAGAGCTGCGCTGCTTTGCAGGAGCCAAAAGCCAGGGCCTGAAGGTTTGTCATAAAGGGGTAAGGCTTCTAAACAGTGCCCCAGGGACAGCACCCAGCCGTACAAAGCCACAGCTCCTTCTGAAAAATAATCAGCACCCCTCAAGAGAGCAGCCTCCCTTTGTTCTGTAGCACGCTGCACTGCTCAGATACTCCTCCCCAAAGCAATACTTCATCTGCAGTGAGATCCTATCCCACCTTCCTCCAAGCCAAAGCCTTACCCAGAAGCAGTGCCATCACCAACAAGCTGCTCCCACACTTCCCACTCCACCACATTCCCTCCCCACTGCCCTTTTATTCCCTCTTCCCAACGTGCCCCACCTGCACCCAGCACAGCACTGGGACTCATTGATGCCACCTGGGCTGCAATGTTCCTGCCCTGATGCTCTGGGATCTGGTTGGGCAGAAGAACCGATGCTGGTATCGAGTGTGTGTGACGAAGCCAGGCATTTGAATGTGAAAAAATGCATGCAAAGTTTCTGAAAGACAGATATCCTACTACAATTTCCAGTCCTAAATGTGAAAAACAGTGCAAAAAGGCTGCAGGGAGTAGATAGCCTAACACACTCGTCACTGCTGGGCTCTCAAACACAAACCAGAATAATAGCAGCCCGTAGAGAACAGGGCTGGTATTGGAGGAGGCATAAAGCTCCTTACAGCCCTCTTTGGACAGGGCAGCTCTCTGTGCATAGGATCACAGGGTTACTGAAGTTGGAAAAGACCTCCACGAGCACCAATTCCAACCCCAGCCCACCCCACCATGCCTTCTGACCTCAGTGCCAAACCTCCATCTCCTGACATGTGATGGAAGCTTTCCATTCCTAATGCAATAAAAGATCTGCACAGGCCAGTTTCCACACAGCTGAGGTTTGGTGTAGATTTATTAGGTCCCTTTGTGCACTAAGGGTCAGCCATGCAAGAGGATGGGCTCAAGGGCAAAAAAAAAATCCCCAACTTTTCTTAAAATTAAAAAAAATATATATACAAAAATTCAGAGAGAGCTCTATTCAGATCTTTTCCTTGCATGAAATGATCTACAAGCATTAAGAAGCATCATCTCAAGCTATCAACTGGTTTTATGTAAATCTGAATGAGGGCTGAGGAAAGGGGGAGGGAAAGAGAGGGGAAATGGCACTTCTAAAATTGGTCCCTTACCTCAGGGGTATTATAATTTTATATAATTATAATTCTAGAGGTTTGGATTTGTGCTTTCCTGCAGCCTTCATGCTCCCACAGAAGATAGATGAGGTTATACAATAGTCCTGGTGTAGCCTCCACTATCATCTAGTAGTGCAGGACCGAGCTGCTGTACTCACAGTGGGTGGGGGTTAAGATTTGTACAGGAATGCCTTTCCATGCCTCCTCATCACTGTGAATCTGGGAGTATGACAGTAAAATTTAAACGATTTAACAGTTCTGCCTTATTCCTGTCCTCCCTGACCTGGTTTTCTTCCTTCATGTCTTCAGGTGATGAGCCACTGTGCAGCAGCACCTACACATCCCATTAAAAACCCCACAGCCTGCAAAATGGGGTACTGTGCACCTCCTGCACGGCCCCTCACAAGCCCTTCCATCACTTTGCAGATCCCATTGGAACCAGCAGGTGATGCTGAAGCAGAAAACATGGAGTTCTTCTGCTCTCTATTAGGCTTTTATTTTCCTTCCATAAATCTCATAAGTGAGAAAAATACTGTGATCTTGTTGGGGGATTTGGAAAGTGTAGGATATAAATGATGACATGCAGCATATGGCTTTGTTCTCACTATCTAGTCAACTCCTCAATCCCTGCAAATACACGTGGGATTTTTCACACCTAGCAAACAGCGAGGAGGGCACCTGATAGAAGAAGGGACATTCCTCTAGCAGAAGGTTGGTTGGGTGCAAGCTTTCCTTGCGCTGCCTTTCACACAGCCCTTGCACATCCCCAACCTCACTGTGACATTCCTGGTGTAAGTCAGACACTGCATTTCCCTTTGCAAGTCTGCAGGTGTTGCAGGGAGCCTTGCGTAGAGCAGCTGTGCTGGGAGAGGAGACTCGTGGTCAGCACCTTGCTGACTCCTGGTGCATCTCTCCACAATCAGAAGGCTGCACAGCAAATGACCCCATCCAAAGCAAGAAGAGATGGCTTTTTCTTTTGCAAAGCATGCATCATCAGCAGTCTGGGGAGTCATACTGATCTGCAAGAGTCAGTGGAAAATCATCTTGATGGTCTTTGCTTGAAGCCTGAACATTGCAAGGCTTAGCAGTGCTACAGATGCATCTCTCTGGGATTTTTATTTGCTCTCACTGCTTGAGCTAATTCTTCATCTAAATACTTCTGCTGGAATCTCTGCCTGTGCAAGAGACTGTATTTATTAGATAAAAAGGAGAAACTGGTATGTCATTGCTAAACATCAACAAAAGCTCCTGTTATTGCCAGCATCCACTGCAAGATACAAAAGATCCATCAACCTTTCTCAACCCTGCATCACAGCTCGTGCTCACGTCCCATTTGCAGGCAGCCATGGCACACACAGTTGGCCACTCTTGACCACCAGACGTGCAGCTGCTGCATTCCCAACTGATGGAGAGCTACCAGCAGTGCCACCCTCACCCTGCAGACTTCTATCCCCTAATTGAGGCAGTGCCCAATCCAAGGCCCTGACGGTCATCCCTCTGATGTGCAAAGTGTAAACACGTGGACTAAATGGCTTTTGCCTAATGCTGGCCATCCTATGTAGCAGCAGGAGGGATAACTTGTTCCATTCCCCTGGCCGTGCCTCAGTTTTTCCCTCAGCTGTCAGCTCAGGCGTGTGACACGTGCTTATTTCACTCAGACAAAATCAAAAAAATCAAATCAGTACATTTACCAGAAACATTAAATTGTGGGGAAGAGGCACTTGATAGGCAGCCTCCACTCCAGGGGATGGGAAATGCAAAAGCACTATCTGACAGGCGGTGACATTTGCAAGTATTGCCAAACTTCAGCAGCAGAAGGGGAAAAAAGTAATCTTTGGTATGTCAAGGGACCTTCAGTCATGTCCTGTCCACTATCAGGACCAAGATCCACATTACAGAGTCACAGAATACCCCACGTTGGAACGGATCCATAAGGCTCAACAAGTCCAACTCCTGCCTCCATATCGGACCATACAAAAATAAGACCAAATGTTCAAGAGAGCCTGGAAATGGGCACCAGAAAACAGCCCCTCAATACCCCAACTTCTGTACACTGTATTTGCCCCATTGCTTATCAGTTGGAAAACCGGGGTGCAATGCACTGGTCCAACCATGCAAAGAGTGTGCACATGGACAAGCATGCAATGATTACACAAGTTTTTCTCTACTCGTGCTGGATTTGCACAAGGGATGTCTTTCTCCTCGCACCCCCCATGGCTTTGCCTGTCCAAATCCCATACATTCTCTTTTATGGAAGTCCATCACTGTACCCAAGTGCATTCCACATAAAATAACAGTAAAATCTGTTAGGATGCCTTTAGTTCCAGTGTTGAAATGTACTGGGCTTAATGGTTTTGCTTGATGAATACATTCAGTATAGATTTGAGTTTGTTTTTCATCTCCAGAGATCTTAGCTCAGTTGAAGTGCACCTATTTCTACAAAAACACATAAACCACGAGGATCCAAAGAGAACAAAGAAAGTTCACAAACTCAATGAGAATTTTCACACCCCCTTTTCATCTCCAGGTCAATCCTTGATGAATTCCAGCCAAACATTTTCATAGTTCCAGTTGAATTTACACACCATTTTTCCTAGAAAGACGTGATGCCACTAACTCTCCAAGCTCCAAGTAATAAAAGCCAAAACCCTGGGTAAGAGCACAGTGACCTTGATGGAAAGCTAACAGAATAAATGTGGAACAGAAACACCTGAAGTCCTCTGTAGCATCCTTTGGTGCTGTTGGCTGTCTCAGCTGCAGAAAATGTCACCTCTGGCAAGCAGAGGGCTTAATCAAAAATTAAGTTCTAGGAAAAAGGAAGAAAGAAAGAAGAAAAGAAAAATACCTGCTTTCATTCTAAGAAATACCAGATGCAGCTTCCATCCTCAAGGAGAGCGCCGAGAAATCATTTCCTAGTTGGCTGGGGGGCTGTTGGGCTATTTGCTTGTAAACGATGAGATGCAGCCAAACCTAAGGAGAGGAGCGGAGCTGGAATGGGCACATGGAGCTCTCTGAGACTGGAGGAGAGCCCTGGGGGATGAGGCAGCCATAGCACATCCATGTCCCCACACAGCCAGCAGCAGATTTGGGAGTGTTGAAACCACCTATGGCAGCTGCAGGAGCTGGCAGGAGCCACGTGCTGCTATCAAAATGAGCCCTGCTAGCTCTGCGATAAGCACACGCAGCAGTGCCTGCCAGCTCCTTCTCCATGTTAGCCTGCACTCATCCACGTGTTCTCAGCTTGTTTGCAGCCCATCCTCTGCTTTGTACAGAAGGCTGCTCTCTCCGTGTGGGTCTGCCGGAGGTCTGTTATAGAATCATAGAATCATAGAATCATACAGTCAGTATAGTTGGAAAAGACCTCTCAGATCCCCAAGTCCAACCCCAGCCCACCCCACTGTGCCCACTGCCCACGTCCCCCAGTGCCACATCTCCATGTTCCAGAACACCTCCAGGGATGGTGACCCCACCGCCCCCCTGGGCAGCTCTGCCACTGCATCACCACTCTTTTGGAAGATATCCCACCCCAAAATGACACAAGGATCTTCTTCACCCTCAGCAATCCCCTTCGCCACTGCTGGGCCTCCACCACAGACCTCTGCTTCACCCTCAGCCATGTATCGGACATGGTGGTGGGTTGGTGGTTGGACTAGAGGATCTTTGTGGTCTCTTCCAACCTTAACAATTCTATAATCCTCTATATTTTAAAAGCCCTGGAGAAACTCCTAATCTTACTTATCTTTTTAATGAGAAATATTATGCCTGGGGACAGCTGCTGTCCCTATGATCAACGCGTTCTGAGAGTACAGCTGTGTTTTCTGGACTGTATTCTCTTTTCCTCCTCATGCAATATTTGTTTCCTGAGGGAGAAAAACAACAGATCAATTTTGCTCCATTATGTTCACTGCACATTTTTAGAGATTCCTTACAAAATTCACTGTGCTGTTCCACCCTGTTTATCTGAAAGGTTACAGGAACTTCAAGCATCATTAGATCCTTGACAGAAATTATTTTTGCTTGCAATTTACCATCCCTGCTTGGAGAAAAGCCTGCAATCTAAGGCAGATGAGCTGCCCTGGAGCTCGTTAGCTGTGTGAGTCTCTGCCCTCTGTGCAGATCAAAGCAGCAGCTCACCCAGGGCTTCCTGAAGTCTCCCACCCATGCCCTGCTACAGCACAGCCTCACTTTGCTGCCCATGATCTGCTCCACACTGTGCTTCCAGCTTTTGGCAACACCAAAGCCCCAGTGGGGAAACCTTTGCTTCTCCTCTTCATACGTTCAAGATGCACGTTTTCCATGAAAGCATCCTGAACCCAACTGGATGTCATAAAACTGTAGGGGTTGGCAGGGTCCTCTAGAGATCATGCTCTGCTGTAGCTGCAGGGAATAAGCCCAATGCCTCTGCTGAAATTAACAGGTCCTATTTGGCCATTGATTCCTCACACTGCCTCAGTCCTTCTGCTTTAATGGCACTCCCTCAGGCATGTCCTGCTCTTCAGTTCGTGTTCGTGCAGCATTTTCCACGGGCAGCCTGTGAGTGGCCTTCTGGACACTGTCACACTGCAACAAGTGCTGGGGGCTGCATCCCGCTGCTGTGGCTTTCAAGCACCACTTCACCCTTCAAACAAAGGTGAACAGCTTGAAAACACTGCGGTTTATCATTTCTTCTGCTTGGCCAGAGAATGTCACTGAAATAAGTTTCCCATTTCTTTGTAATATGTTCTTAACAGAGAGCACTCAGGCATTAAGATCACTGGCTACCATGGACTAAAATACCTCCTGTTTTTCATGTGGGGAGAAGTGACCTTAAAAAACTTGTGCATCAATTCAATCCTTCACTGCGACACAGCCAAAACAGCATTTAACCTGACACCAGAAGGCAGACCAACCAAAAAAGTTTCAAAAAGTTATACCATAACTATATTTAACTTGAGAAATGAACTAAAAACCTTGGAAGCCCCCAGAAATGTCATGAGACCCAAAGGGATCAGTGCCCGCATCAAGTCCTGACTCCACCTGGAATGGGTCAGGCTCCCCGTATCTTGTTTTTCCTATTTCCATCATCAGGATGTGGAATGTTCCTCTGCCCTCTAAGGGATGATGTGAAAAAAATCCAGGCGAGGTCTTTGATTGCCAAATGAAGAGTGCTGGCCAACGAGCACAGCTTCTTGCAGTCATCCTGCTCACGTGACAAGAGCATCCCTTCAGCACAAGGCCAGGTGACCAGGTTGCTCCAACCCCATCCACGTGGCAGAGATTTGCTCTGGAGCACCTCTGAAGTGTAAGGATCATCCCTGGAATCTGCTGCTCAACCAGCACTGACTCAAGCTGCAAGCCCCAGGCAGCAGCACTTTTGTCCAACGGATGCCAGTGAGATGTATTACTCATCCCAGGAGCAGGCGGGATTGGGATTTGTGCCCTGAGGGCAGCAGTCACCTAGCAACTCTGAGAGGCTCTGCCGTGCTCCTGACACATCTTTGACAGCAGCACTGTATCCTTTCAAGTCACTGTTAGAAACCGAGAAGAAACACGAGAGAAATTGATAGGTTGAGTCTTCTTACAGGGTGAACTTGCATTGCTCCTCAGGCTTCATGGATTCCTCCTGAGCTCTTGTTACTAGCCAAGGTGATGGAGGAGGGAATAGTGAGGCACAAGCAGCATCACTCCCTCATCCTACAGCCCACGGCTGGGACCAGCCCTTGGAGAAGGCAGAACTGGAAAGGCATGAATGGCTCCAACCAACCCCCTGAAGCCTCAGCATCCTTGGGAAGGCAGAAAGGTGAAGGCGCTGCCTCTCGGCTTTGGAAGGCACTCAGCAATGCTGCTCTGCACAGATGGGCACAGATCCTGTGCTGTCCATGTTTTGGTGGCTGGGTTGAGTCAGCTGTGCTGAGGACTTATCCAAATGCCTTCTTGGATGGAACCCAGCCACATAAATAGACTACGCCACCCTTTTTGGAATCGTTTATTTTTTAATTTTCCTTTTCAAAATGTTCCTTGCAGTTGGCTCCCACCCTCATCTATAATTCTTACAGCAACACTCTGGGGCAAACAAACAAACAAACAACAAAGCTCAATTTTATGACAGCCCAGCAAAAGACCTCACCTTGCTCTGTACCTAGAAAGGATGATGCAACCACAGCCAGCTCCAGCAGAGCTCCCACCAAGGGGCAATGCCCCCTGCTGCCTTGTGAAACAGTGTCGACCACTTTGCAAAACACAGGTTGTCCTCAACCTGCCTAATAACCATGACTAAGCTGATGAATTCAAGCTTCTAAAGACCTATGTTTCATAAACCCATTTGTTTTATTCCTAGCGCTGAATTCCTCATCAATTGAATTCTCTTTCACCTGTTATATCATTTTGTCCACAATTACTAGCTTGCATTTATCCCAGATATAATAACAGCCTTTTTAAAATACAAACTAGCCTTTTCCCAGCTTTTCTGGTGCTGATTAAAAACGAACATCTGCAGACCTCAGCCTTCTGCACCAGCTCTTCTGAGACTCTCCAGCACGCGTTACATAGACACTGATTTCTAAGTGTACCCCCTGACAACACAGACATAATTTACTACTCCGCTGATTAAAGACGGGTTGGGAAAGATTGCACTGCCCATTAGAGACACAAAGCACATCATTCTGTCTTTCCAAATGCCACAAAGAAACACTGACCGAAGATGATTGCATGGATTGAACCACTCCACGCACTGACAAACCCACCAGCTGGAACCGTTTTTTTCCTTCTGTTCAAAGATATTTAAAGATTTTTTTTGTGCTTCCTCTTGACAACCACAGTTTCCACACTCTTATAAAAATTGTCCTCATGACTTATGAACTTCATAATTCCTGATACGCATCATTTGGTATCAAGCTCCTTTTGCAAACTACTGCTTTTCTCATATCACTTATACCTACCCTGGCTAGGCTACTGAGACTGGGAGACCTCAAGGCAAAGACTTCCTCACGATGAATTCCAAGGGCTTTTCCATCATCCATGATGAACTCTCCTCAAAATCCCCTACATGCACACCTTTTTTCTACCCTTATCTCCCATCCACTTCCAAGTGCAGCCACCCCAGCATTCCTTTGGCCCTTTGAAAGCTGCCATAGGACTGCATGGCTGTGACAGGGATGGAAACGCTGCCCTTTTCAGCCCCTATTGGATGCAATCAGGCTGTGATCAGCAGTTCCTAGGCAACCACAAAATTCCTGTCCAGCAAGGTCTGGAATAGGCTTGGGGATTGTTTTGGACAAAATGCCTTTTGTGCTAGAAAACTATTAGATATCGTTATGAGAAATCCTTATGACATTTTACTTACCAGATTTTAGATAGCAGCTTCTAGAAGTCATTCTCAGCACATCTGCAATGACAGCAATTTGCTTTTTGCACATCATCAGGCAGCTGTGGGCCACAGGACCCCTTCCTGCCACATGGGGGTTCGTTATGTAAGCACAGGTCCACACTCCTCCTTTGCTCTGCCAGCACAGAGGAAATCTCACTTATCTCTCTTATAATTCTGCAGACAGAAATAAATATTCATGTGAAAATTTTCTGGCAAAAAAAAAAAAAAAGGGAAGGGAAGGGAAGGGAAGGGAAGGGAAGGGAAGGGAAGGGAAGGGAAGGGAAGGGAAGGGAAGGGAAGGGAAGGGAAGGGAAGGGAAGGGAAGGGAAGGGAAGGGAAGGGAAGGGAAGGGAAGGGAAGGGAAGGGAAGGGAAGGGAAGGGAAGGGAAGGGAAGGGAAGGGAAGGGAAGGGAAGGGAAGGGAAGGGAGCTCCAAAGAACCTGAATAGGACCAGAGAGTCAGCAGCCAAACACCAGGAGGGCTGAAATAGAGGTCACAGGGAGAGCATGTCACTGAAGCTGTTCTCAGCAGGGCCTCAGAATGGTGGCCTGAAATAGGAATCATCACACTGGTCAATTGGAAATGGCAGCTGATGGTCACCATGTCAAGCCCCTTCTGTGACCCCTGTGAGATCCCCGTGCTGGAACACACAGCCCCCCATGAGAACCAGGCACCAAATAAGATGCTGTACCTCCATTCTCCAGTTCCTCCAATGCTCAGCTTCAGGAGAACCATCTTGCTCCCTCCTAACCCTCAGCTCACCCAGACCTTACATCCTTCCTCCCATGTCTCAAAGGTGCCCCAGAGCTGCTGGCTCACGAGCATCCATGATTCAACTTGATGACCTGAGAGGTCTTTACCAACATTAGTGATTGTACAAAGCCCAGGTGAGCAGTGCATTGGGAAGAAACATCATGCTTAATTTCTTCTGCTGCCCTCATTTGTGAGGAGAAGGGGCACTGTCCTACAGGAACATTTCACACTGCAGCTGCTGAGACACCTGCTCTCAGAGCAGCAGAGCCACTCCTCAGGCTGTGTGAAGCCCAGTCTGTGCATGTCCATGCATTGCACTGTCAGCAAATTGGGGATTAAAAGCTCGGGAAAAGGGCTTTCTCAGCCCAGCAAGCAAAAAGTACGACAAGCATCCCTATGATGGCCTCACTGAACCCAAATCCAGCTGCTGTGGTATTGTGGGTAGGTGACAAATCCCAATGTCTTTCTCACCCTAACTGTCCCACAGCTTTGTTTACCTGTTAAAGGATTCAGTTCGAGTGGCAGAGATGAGAAGATCTCTCAGCAATACCTCAGAGCACTTTTCACTCACAGAGCCATGCTGCCCAGAGCAGCATATTTAGGAGGTAAAAGCTGGCGAGCCTTGCCCTGAATTCAGCACAACACTATTTATCTAAGCAGAAAGCAATAATAACACAGCAGAGATTTCATTTCCTTTCAACACATAAGAACTCTGCTGAGCGAAGGTGAGATTAAATAATACAATAGACAGAAAGAGAGCAAGGCAAAGGAAGGTTTTAAAGTCTTTCTCCTTTGGAACGAATTACAGGAGCCTTCACAGCTAAAGCTCCCTAGATATCCTGAGCCTCTTATTGAAGACAGCCCTGTTGCACACTCACCTCCAGCAAGACCTACGCCTGATGAAGTTAGCAGAATGTAATACAGACTGCCTTGGGCTTTGCCACTCTAAACATTCACCCAGCTTCTTCACCATGCTACAAAATTGAATTTTTTTTCCTTCCAAATGCATGGGAAGAGGCACTGCTTAGTTCTGAAGGACAATGAGCAGCGTAAAGGAATCCAAATTCTTGATGTGTTGGCGCGGGCCTTGGCTCAACAAAGGACTTGATATGTGCCGAAGCCAGGATATATCCAGGAATAAAACATAGGTGAGATTGAAGCACGTTCTCAAGCAGATCCACTCGGGCTCCATCAGGCAGCATGGGCAGCACAGCCCACCCAGAGCTGACGAACCACAAAGCGAGAGATACGTGCAGGAAGGGAAGGAATGCTCCAGCGAGAAGCACAGAAGGAGGAGTGACATTTTGGCACTTTATTGCAGTCAGAAAGCTGGGTTTTGGCTGTGCCTCATGGCTTTACTTCCAGCCAACACAACAGAAGATGCCGTGCCTCCTGTGCAAGAGCCCATCGATGCCATTGGAAGCCACAATGCTCCTTATCGCCGAAGACGTCTTGAGATCTGAACAGGAGCCAAGAGCTGCAACGAAATGTAAGACTTAATTATGTCTGACAAAAGCAAATCAATTAAAGGCTGCTTCACATCTGTGTCGTTTTCATCAAGGCTTCTGTTTTCCCATCTCTCCTCCGCTCCCTTGAAGAAATCTGAATATTTATCGCCAAGAATTAGGTCAAAGCCTAGGAGTGAATAAATGTTTCTCTGTGCAGGAGACAAGGAAAATCTCCGATTGCTAAACATGAAGCAAAATCCGCATTGGCTCTCAGGACTGCCAGGTAAAGCCTCCACCCGTCACGGAAGGAACTCACCTGAGCAGTGCTGTGCCTGTGCAGCCTGAGCTCTGCAGAAGCAGTAGGACTGAGCACCAAATGCCCAGGATAAAGGTGGTTTATTTCTCCAACATCCATTAGATTTGCTTTTAAACCTGCTGTTAACGCCCTTTCAGGGGAGATCCAGGACTCTGCAACAACAATTCCATGGGTAGTTATTCACAAGGCATGACTACAAGCCCTGAAAAGAAAAACATTTATATGGAATGCACAGCAATGGCAAAACTCGTGTGTTTGGTGCAAGAACCCAGCCAGCACACCGCCCTAACCAAGCGCAAGGTGTTGCAGGAACCACATGAGATCAGCAGCATGCTGAGCCTGGCAAGATGTTCCCACTGCATCCCCAGCTGTGTGCCTTGCAGGTGAGCTCACAGCAGAGGCTGCTCACTGGCCAAAAGCCATGGGAAAAAACCATCCCTTCCTCTGCCAGCCCCCCAGGAAGACTGGGCTCTCCCCCAGGCACTGTGATCTGGCCATCATCTTCACGCTCAGCCCCATCCCTGCTCCCTGTGGGCCATTCCTCAGGGAAACTTCAGTTGGAGACTCAGAAATGATCATCCTGGTGGAATAATTATATCTGTATTGAGTTAATTCCTCTCCTCAGAGCCTGCCAAATATTAAGCAAAAGCAATGCAGCGTGCTTTGTCACCCAAGTGCATCGGACAAGGCTGACACTAAGTGAAAACCAGTGCTGACAGCATCGCTCTGTGCTCAACATGAATATATATAAATATAATACTTAGGGGAGAGGCTCGGGCTGGATGTTAGGAACGTGCTCTGTCCCCAGATGCTCAGGGAGCATTGGGACAGTGCTCTCAGCCATAAGGTTTGGGTGGTGCTTGGTGGGGCCAGGGGGTGGACTCCATGATCCTTGTGGGTCCCTTCCAACTCAGGATACCCTATCATGCTATAGCACTGAAATCTTTCAAGGGAAAAAAAAAAAACAAAACAATTTTCCCCCCTCCTCTGTTCATCTCTCTATTGCGAGATTTTCCATCCCTGGTAATTTACAGCTTTCTCCATCCCAGTGGGATTGAAAATTAGCTCTGTCACCTTGTCTATCCGAAAGCACTGTACAACTGGCAGCAACACTGATTGCCCAATTTTCTTCAATAGTTAACTCTTCTACCATGAGGAGCAGGATGATCTGTGGCCATGCTGCCAGTGTATCTTCTGATTTTATACATTTCACTGTCCTTGCCATGCACTGTCAAGAGCAAAGGAGAAAAAGTACACTGCCCAAAGTGGCAGTGCAAGAAATGCTCTGCAGCCCTGCAACGCCACTGGGATGAGAAACACGGGGTGACAAGGGTTCAGTTGGAACATTTGTGCTGAGGCTTCAGAAGAGGAACAAAAACCGAGCAAGGCATCAGCATGGAGTGTCTAGAGGAGGATTATTGACTGCTAGCCCATGAACGCCAGGCAGTGAACAGGAAGGAGTAGCTGCAATACGGACAGGCAGATACTGGATGCCAACAGCAGGCTGGGACAGCCTGGTTCCCAAACCTGCACGTTTCCCAGGGCTTCCTGCCAGTAGCACTTCTGGGTCTGCACCAGGCCCTTGCAGAGATGAGCAACACCAGCACCTAAACCTATGTTTGCCCCCCTTCCCAAGAACAGCCCATGCTGTAAGCAGACCCCTGAACCCCCGTGGTCTGGTTTACACATCCTTATACACAGGAAAGCAGCGATGGAAATGACAGATTTTGTTCTTAAACAGGAACAGCTAATGAAATGTCTTGCAGAGATGGGCTGCAGAGGTTGTGCGGGGAGATCCCAAGATGACATGGAGTCATTTTGCTCCATGATAAGATATCTAGAAAAGAAGAGAACCACGGATACCAATGTATTGCTATTTCAGGCTCCTTCCTGCTTCCAAAGCCATCAGACATCTCTCTAAGCCAGAAACATTGCACACACAAGGCTATTACCAGCCTGCATACAGTAAGACCATTTTAGCTAATGAATCCCCTTCAGAATCTGAATTAGCACCTCTCCTGATTCCTGATGGCTCACAAAGAGCCCACCAGTGACCCCAGGAGCTTTGGGGAGCTGCTCCAGGGACACAACCCAGCCTTAGGAAACTGCTCTGCCTCCTCTCTCAAGGCCTTTGGTTACACCCAGGAGGCAAGCAGCAATATTTATGGCATTACCCAATAATTAAACTCACTGTGATTTATCCTCTTCCACCACGCTGAAGATCTTTATGGATTGATGAGTTGGCTGGATGCAGCAGATCTGTGGCCCTCCAGCACTTTGAGGTGGACCAAGGACCTCCTCTGCCCCCCTCCCACAGAAACCCAGGCCTTCTGCAGAAACCTTTTAATTTCTTCTTCCTGCTGCTCTCATCTAATTGTCCCGCTCTTATTTAATTCTGAAAACTGCTTTTGGAAGTTGTTGTATGTGAAAACTGAAGTTTTGTTCAGTCAGATGTTTACCTGTGCAAAAATAACCTCAAGAAGGGCTGGGCTTACAAGATTCTGCCATGCTGGGCGTCAGAAAATGCATCCTTTAAGTAGTCTGTGGCACCAGAACACAAGCAGCCACTTCCCAGTACCAAATCATCCCATAAGTGTACATGAACAAGGCTGTACACCCCATTTCTACACCATGTTCCAGAGCCGGGCTCTGCTTGGGTCTCCCCTGGAGCCACCACCGAGTTTTTTCAGTGAAAGAACCTCTGCATTTCCTTCTACCTTAGGAAAGGCCAAAAACAGCACCACAAAACCTAGCTCTGCAATTACAGAAACTTGTCTGTTAATCACAGCTTAATTGTTTCATACCTTTCGTTAACCTTCTGCTAAGTCCTGAACTACTAACTACTCAGATGGTGATAATTCTCATCATTAATGCATGAACCCTGGGGCAAAATCATTCAAACATCTTAACATTTGCACTCTCTCGTTTGAGAGCAACATCAAATATTCAGAACAGAAGCCCGAGTGGAAATGAAAGGCCTTGCTGGAATGGCAGATGTTCTAAGCAGAGCTCCTACTGCTGCAGGTGAAGGGCAGCTCCAGGGGTACAACCAGCACCACTCCCACCACTGGTACCTGGCTGAGCAGCATCTGCACATCTTCTACCCCAAAGCATCATAGAATCATAGAATATTTGAGTTGGAACGGGCTCATAAATATCATTGAGTTTAACCTCAATAGTGCAACTTTCACCCTCCACTGCCATCTCATCACAGCAGGGGGGAAAGTGAACCCACACCAGCTGTGGCATGGGGGGAGCACCCCAAATTGCACCAAAGGAACTGCACTTTAATTGTACTGCCTGTAGGTATAGTTGGAGCAAGGTGCAGCTCTGGATGGGAGCTGAGGCACAGCAGGGAGCTGGTTCTCAGCCCAGCACAATGCCTCATGTATTTTCAGAGCAGAAGGAAGGAGAAATGGAGTAAAAAATTGGCCAAAGACATGAGTTTCTGTGGGAGGGAAGCACTAGAGTTCCTTAGTCCTCCTCAGAGTGTTGGAGGATCCCAGATCTACTGCATGCATCTCAGCAACGTGGTTTTCCAAGGCACGGGCACCTTCAAGCCTAGGGCAGCATCCAGCCATTACTTCCCTCGTTGAGGACCAGCTGCATCCCAATGCTTGAGTTGAGCCATGGAGGAAAGCCAAGCTCTATGAGAACCAGAGGGATGGAACTGCCACACCAAAAGTCTTTTCTTTAGCACTTCACCCACTCTGGCAGGAAATATATTCTCAACTCCCCTTCTGCTCTTCCTTTCTCCAAAGCAACAGGCGGCAGCTTTTATTAAGAAAAAAAAAAATAATAATAATAATCTGCAGGGCATGTGTGGTCAATGGCTTCTTAATAACATTTTTAGCATTGTGTTCCAAGGGCTCATGTAAATAAAAAATGAACAAAATAAAAAAGAGAGGAAAAAGCACAGCAAAACAAATAGCTTGTGCACAGTCTGCTTGGAGTGCTTAATAATCCCCAAAGTAAAAGGCACTGCAGGGGAGAGGCAGGAGCCACGATCCCAATTACACCCTGTCTGTCCTCCTCATAAACCAGAGAGACGGGGCTGCTGCTGGAAGACACTGATCCTAACACTGCTAAAGACCCATATTGCAGGAATATGGGATTTGATTTTGATATGATTTTGATATGAAATTGCAGGAATGCTCACAGGAATCAAACTCTGAGCTTGAACTGCTGAGGTTTTGCTAAAGGACAGTCTGGATCTTTCCAGACAGGTAAAATTTGCAGCTGCCCCTGAGCTCGAGCATTTAAACACGCAGAGTGGGGCTGAGGTGTTTCCAAGCAAAAAGGGGCAATGCTCCGAGCTGGAGAAGGCCAGGACAGGTGGGATGATCACCAAATGCCTCCAGCCTGACCCCACAGTGCTCCCAGCTGGGGTAGGAGCACTGCTAGGGGATCTCTGAAAGGCAAAGGCATCACTGCCATTCTGCAGGAGACCCTGACATTGTCACCACTCCTTTGATTCATTGCATGGCTTCCACAGACAGCAGTGCACAGATGAAGTTCAATGCTGCTGATTTCTCCCCCATTGCTGTAAGAACTCAGCTCTCTGCACCTCACAGCATAGGGCTGCTCCTCGCCACCTCTTACGCTGCAAATATCTCATGTTTAGCATCCCTTAGCCTGGACTCAACAAGATGAGAATAAAGAAGAATGATGAAAAAGAAAAAAAAAAAAAGCCTCTTTTTTTCTTTGAAAACAACTTTAAGCTTTCCTTGGAAAGGAATTATCTGTCATTTGTACCATACTCAGCAAATGCAGCATTGTGTTACACGGACCTTTTAGGAAAATTAAAGGGCTGTTACTGCTCCACTCTGCTGCAGGGGAAGCTGACACTGTCACTTACTAATAAGATTAAGGGATTTCAGAATTCCATTGCAACTCCCTCAGTACCTGGATGGTTCCCCAGCCTCACTCGCAGGTACATGCCAGAGTTACTTCATGCAACTGAGAATGGGAGAATTAATTTCCAAATTGAATGAAAGCCCAGAAAATCCACCAGGCACAGCCTCCTCAGGCTGATGGTGACGCTCTGCAGCACAGCTCCCCATCCTGCTCCAATCCAGCTGTCCACGCTGTGCACTTCACCCACGCTTCACCTGCTTGTGCAAACAGGGACATCTTGCAGAGAAACAGATGC